CATCCTCGAAATTTTCTTAAACACTCAAACGGCGGATCTATTCGACGAAACTATAATATATAGCAGATTAGTCTTTCTATATATTTTGAATACATACAAACATTTCAATGAATTATTGGAAAGTAGATAGTCAAATAATATTTATAGCATGGGTCTGAATGAACCCGAGCTCCGCCGTCAAAGTGTTAAATAGCAGATGATTTTCGATCATGAATAATTCAATACTCGATGGATTTTTTCCGCTTTTTACTTTCTGAAGAAGGAAAGAAAGGTAATGTTCATTTCCCCTTAGGTAAATTTGACTTATCTCGTAATGATGCGATTATTCGCAGCAGTGGAACCAATCCAATCACATATTCATAAATACTGATACATATCAATTAGAAGATGTCGTTGCGCACAGTAACTCGATGACGAACACCGGCAAGAGTTCTACGCAAATGAGAGTCCAGATTGAACCATGGAAAAATGTTGCGTAAGAATAATTAAAATACCGGTTCCTACTGGTTCTGCAAAGAGCATATGAAAGAAACGTCGTTGTAAATAAAACTGAAAACGAAATACCAATATGAGTACATAGATGTGTATGTACAATCCACAATTGCAACTTTTGATTGATCCGCGCAGATTTTGATATACTTCTAGCATATAGAAATCTTCAAAATGAGACAGACAAAATAAATTAGTAACTTCTTGTTATATCTCCCATTTGTATTAATTAAACTAGAACGGTATACTATTCTGGTTCCATGCCTACTTGATTTATCTTTAATATATTTATATATCCCTTTTTATCGACACAACACTCTGCTTAATAAGATACCAACTAGTTTTATGAATGCTGCTACTTAAAGTTCAAAACTCTGTTAATATGAAAATTCTCTATGTAAAATTTTGGCAAGAAACTATATTTCACTTAATAAAATACAGGAAACACAAAAACTGATAACTACATAACAAAAACTAATCGTTGCTACTAAAAATTATTGCGTGTTATTTTAATTCCAGAATGAAAGATAATTCTAAGCGACTTGAAATGTATCAGAACGTTCGTCCAAAACGTGTGAGTTGTAATAGTTAGTTCTACAAGTGTTAACTAATTTTAATTGTACACTGTATCAGTTGCTTGAATTAAATCAATCGGTGTGTTACCACTTACAAGTTCTATCTAACTATTAAATAAGTATTAAAATTGATATGTGTCAATGGAATGGTATGTATCAATGAGTTTGGAATCGTTCACTGCCGTCCCGAGAGTAGCCAAACAATGTTTCCGTCATTAATTATTTGTTACGCGAAACACATCAATAATACATTGAAGATTACATTGCGTATATATGTATAGCATAGTATATAGCAAAGGAATTCGATGAATTGGAAACTGCAATTGTTCAGTCAATTTTTTTATCGATCGTTGGTGCTCGATACCACTTTTTGTTTCCCTAAAATTATCAACTACATCTAGAAACTTCTAAAATATTTGTCGATAGCATTAAACTGGTTATAAGAGGAAAATTCTTGAATATCATTACACGAAGCTTATTTTTCTATAATACTCTATTGCGTTTGGCAGTCGATTGGCAATTCCCCTAACGAGCATGTCATCGATACGAATTACCGCGAAGCGTTATAAAAATATTTATTGACAACAATATCAGACACATATGATTTCTTATCTTGTATCTCCGACACATAACGATCCGCCACTGTTTTCAACCAAATCGTCTTTGGTACCGCGTTAAATTGAAAGCCACGCAGACGAGTCATTCTGTATTTGAATATAACAGAGATTTTCGGCAATTTTACTTCAGCGAAACAGCTGTCTATTATAATTATTATTTAAAATTCATTCAAACTGGAAAACATAAAAGTACAATTGATCGTATCAAACATTGGACATTAGATGAAAGATCGAAGCGATTTCGATCCTCAAAAAAGTTTGTGAGACAAGAATCAGATGATATGTGTATACCTGAGCAAATCAGAACGGTTAAAGGGTTTCATAACTTTATAAAAATAAAAAGAATCTATTCTTCATCTATTAATACTTTTAGATCTCTTTGAAAAAGTAACTGCCATATCTCTCTCTATTCTCAGATATTTGGCTCAAATTTTCAACAAATATTACTCAACTAGCATTTAATCAATTTTACATATTCATATCGTAAATGACTCGATACATAAAAAGATGTTCAATTTTTCTTACTTTTGGATCGTTGAAAAATATGCAACCCCTTAACGTAAAGAAGGTCTGGATATCGTCAAAAGTTTCACTTTCCATTATCGTTGCCATACAATCAGACAATTAAAATTGAACAGTGCTTATATGGAACGAATGTTCATATTGAAAATCCTACGAATGGTCGTCGTGCGTGATGATAATGTTACGGAGTTCGAATAATTTAGGCGGACCAACTATGCAGTAGCATCGAACACAAACCGATCGACAAAGGCATTAGACGTTCTTGACTCTAATACAAATACGATAGAGTTGTCGCGATACATGCGGAACATTGAAAAATCTGCAGACTCGTTACATGTATTTAAGCGATATACAAACATTCTTCCAAAAATACAGTGTATGGTTGAATTTCAATGCCTCGTATAGGGGCTTCCTCTGTTTCCCCCAGGAAACCCGATGGAGAGAATTCGTATGACCCTGCTGAGATTGATCGGTTTCCCTGGTCATTCTTAAACACTTGAAATTTTACTTTTCTTCGTAATTATAAAATTAAGTACGCGTTCTTGTATCGAGAAAACCTGACACTAAGTACCGGAACTGACGATCGGATTCTCTGGTACGTTCGATTGCATCGCTTGTCGATGATTTCCTTCAATTCTCTAGTCAGCTCTATCGTTCGCGATATACAAATTCTCTGCAGTATATTTATTACAAAAGTTTGATCAACATCGACTCGAGATGATTCTAATGAAAATAAGGATAAACAGGGTAATGAAACGGGACGATTAAACGTGAACGCATTAGGCCAAGTTTCGATTACACTTGAAGAACTTGTCAAAGCGATGTCGATGTTAGACTTATTTTCATGAAAAATATTCTCGCCGACTCTTTAATTCAAGATTGACAAAAACATGAAATTAGTAGGATGTTTCCAAATTCAGAACTTAAATCGAAGAGGGCTGTTTATGTGACAAGCTTTGTTATCATTTAACATACAAGCTACCTGAAACTGGTTTAAAGTTTTCATAAATTAGTAACCTGTGTTAGAGCATTCGAAATTATATGGAATTCAATTTCATTATCTATTTCATAATAACGGTTTTAAATACACGTGTCTTGTCAAAGGGAAACACATCTATTACGTAAAAATGCTTTTGTTAAAACATGATAAATGCTCTAATGTCAATGCAAACTGCAATTAATAGTTTTATTATACAGATTTACAGCTTCATGTAAAGAGATAATTAAAATTTGTTGAAGTAGCATTTTCAGAAATAATATCGTGCTGAAATATACTGCAAAGTTATCGTTTAAAATTTCTTAGCATTTGTTACAGAATCTTTCCTTTACGAAGGAGAAAATAACACTTTGTATGTAGGATGTAATGATATTTTACAGAATTATAATATTGATAACATCATGTATAACAAGAACAATTTATTTAATACTTTGCAATAAAATGTACGTTTGTAAAAGTTCATTACTTAAAGATAATTCATGGTAAAAGTAGAATTTGGTTTAAAAGAAACAGGGATGGATTAACTGTTGATTAACTGCTGGACACGTTCAGTGTTCCAAACGTTAGTCCTTTGCAGTTCATTAAACGACAAATTAAATAAAATAAAATTTAATATTTTCAATTCGCTAGCTATACATAGTTTAAGCAATCAAATGCCGAGTGCTGTCGACGATCGCGACAAGCGAACGATCCATACGAATCAATGCCCTCAACAGCTTAGCAATCGTCATTTCGATCAGAATGTAGATAAGTAAATACGTATAATACGGATCGTCGAATGATTCTTGTGAAAAGTGATATGGCTTCTACGAAGATGCGAGTTTCTTGTTCCCACTGTCATGATTCTCCTATCGTGAAAAGGGAGGGTTTGACGAAAGCCTTCCGTCTCTTCTTCCTTCTCTTTTTTCCTCATCCTAGGTAATGTTTTATTAAATGAAGTGTCTACTACAGCCCTTGGACGGATGGTTGCCACTTGCGAGGACGATTCGATTCGCAACGATAACTGTTTCCCACCGAATTTCATCTGAAAGTTGTTTGAAAGAAAGGGACTATGCCAATGTTGACTATCGTGAATTGCAAGATCAAAAACATTGCCAGTACATTCTTGAGTAGAAATAGAGAGAGAGAGAGAGAGAGAGAGAGAGAGAGAGAGAGAAAAGGATATATGAATATATAGTAAAAATATTTTTTGAGATTACCCCGCGGATTTTATGCATTTATAACAAAAGTGGGCAGACAAAATTTAAAACAACGAAAATATTTAAAGAATTTAGATCAGGGTTTTGGCATCTAGGAACATATGTATTATTTTCAACTCACTGAAATTATTAAAGTGAAAAAATATTTCTATTTGACTCATGTTTGTTGCGATTAATGAAGTTGCTTTTTATTTTGCATAAGCCTAGTAATGACTGGACTATGGATTTTATGCATCAATTCCAAAATTGACTACGTAAAATTTTAAACAGTAAGAAGATAAAAATGATTTAAGAATACCAATACGTTATTATCGAACTATCAAAATCATTACAGAAAGAAAGAAAGTTCTATGCAGCTCTCTCCTGCATGTTGTAAGTGATGCATGAAATTTTTATATTGCATAAAGATCCTCATTATAATAATGACACGGCATTAGTGTTTCTTTATATTTACCCTTTTCGTGTGCCTTCAATCAAATTCTTTTCCTGCTTCTGAAGCTGGCAATGTTTTAACGTTTATTTTAGAAAGAAACAATAAATTTTAGTCTCTTTCGTAGAACAAAGCAGATTTCAATTAAATGAAATAATTATAACTATAACGTTACGTGAAATACATTATTATTTTGTAATGTATTGTTCCATATTTTGTTTGAACTTTTACAGACATAATTGAGATTTCGAATATTGAAAAGATCTGAATATTTTGTTTATAAAAATACCTCCTTATAAAGTTAGGTACCTAATATAACAGATGTTTAAAATTTCGAAGGCAC